TCCACGACCTGAAGGCGATCCTCAAGATTCGAGACAGGTTCGTGCAAGTCGCCGAAGCCGATCATCGACCGCCACACGCATCACATGGAGGAAATGACATTGACGTTGGTCCAAGGAATACGTCCAAATACTTCTCCTGAACGATCATGAGTCGTCGCTGCGTTTAAGCCTGGAAGCCATCTTAGTTAGAAGACAAACTCCCGGCACCCGCTCGCCCGCACTATCCCGTCGGGATCCGTGCATCGTGGGGGAAGTTGGGGAAATGCTGGCGTCTAAGCTGCAGGATGCTCATGTCACAATATACATGAACAAACGAGTGTCTACCGCACCTCGGAGGGTATCCGTTTCTAATGATTCCGGAACGAATCGAAACCAACGAAATTGAACCGAAAGTGCACCAGCCGGGCGGAGACGGATGGTTTTGTAATGCTGATGACGCGGAAAAGTTGAGGATGCCAATGGATGGATGGGTGATGTCTCAGCCACCCGCCCTGCACATCTAAAGGAAGCAATCACAGCTCTGGACTTAGTGCGTTGAAGAGACCAGCTGAGGTGTCAATCTATGCGGTGCATTCTTTGTTGGTCAGCTTGTCATAGGCTCAATATCTGTGCTTCAAATGAAAGACGAAGCACCGCATATAGTCCGAAGGATTATACCAAGATAGGCAGTCCAACAGGTAGAGACAAGGCTACAAATAGCATCGGCGAATCTCTACAGCCAAGACTGCTCAGCCTGGGTTACCTACCCCTGGATCGGCGGTCTGCACACAAGTGCACTCGTCATGGTAACACCGTCGGTGCTTAATTTGGTTTGGAGGGCACCCTGGGACCCAATGATTTGCAGGGTCCACGAGGGCCATCCAGACTGAGACATTGTCATGAGACATTGTCATCTTTGTCTTGATGCACATTCTCGGCATGTCTCGACACGAACACCAGAGAACCTATAGCTTCGTCGTCCAGCTCCGACACATGGAGCATGTAGGTCTGTATTGGCGCATAAGTGCGTATGATTCAGCCGGGGCGCTGGGGCTCTGTGGATAAAAGTCTCCGGGACGATTATAGGGCTTTTGATAATCTGGACCTTGAGTAACAGAGTCGCGTGGACTTTGGACAAGGGGCTTTAGTAGCATAATGATGCTGTTGCCTGCGGCAAAATGGAGTCAGCATCGTCAATCGAGAAGCGACGCACCGCGCAGCAACTCGAAGAGCTGTATGACAAAATGATTGCCAGGGCACCGGCCATCAGCCATCAGCAAGCGAGAGCGAGATTGCAGCCGATGCATGATAAAAACGGACTAGGCCGTATACTCGAATAGAGCCGCTTAACAAAATATATTCATGATGTATCGGCAATCAAAACCGAAACTCCCAATCTCTCACGGAGCCGCGGCGTTACTGTTTCTGCCAAGCAATCAAGCCAGGGCCACATCCAGATTTCATGAACAGCATTCACAAGACAAATTGTGGATGTAGGCGAATACAAGCGCGCCCTATCTAAGTAGCTGGAAGGAGTCTGATGCAGGAGGATGTTGATAGGTGGAGCTGTGGAGGTGCAATCAATCAGGATGATCTGGTACGGTGTGCCTACAGTGAGGCACAGTACATACGGTTGTCTTTACTTGAGTGTTCTGCAGCGGCACAGGCGGGAGCCTTGCAGTTTACATCCGTCGGCTCTGCCATTCTTTATGGAGCTCTAGAGGTAAGATGGCTATTAATATTATACTTGACATGGAGCCTGTTGGGGACGCATTTCAATAATACAATCAGCTTACCTTAGTCATTTCAGTAATTGCAATAACCCACTGACCAACCAACCAGAGCAAGGACTGCGAATTCCCGAACAGATACCGGACACCACCAACTCATCTTTGATTGATGGATGGATCGTCCCGAAGATGCTCCGCCGATAAGGTGCTGTGCTGCATGTACGTAAAACTTTTTCTTTTTTTCGTTTTTGATGACCTTCATCAATCTGCCAGCCTAACCTGGTCTGATCGTACCCGTTTAAGCTTCGGTGCAGCCAATGGCTGCAAGGCATTCTTGAACTTGTTGTGCCGCGATCCTCGTTGACGAATGTCGACTCTTGCCCTGCCCCCAGTCTGATAAACCCAGCCAAACGGCCACTAGACGAGCCTCTGAGATATGTCAATGTACCGTCACGTCAGGTACAGGGCAGGGCATTGTCTGCACGCGACAATACCTGCACCAGAGGTTCCCAGGTTACAATAGAGCCGATGTCCGGCTGCATGAGGCGCCATCTGGGCGTCAGATTTCAAGCCCAAGTCACAGCGGAAGTGGATTTGATGAGGACACGAAAATGTTACTGTCGTGTTGAATTTCATACAGCCGATTTTAATTACTTTCCTTAATATCGTCTTGTACAGTACAGTACGTATCGCCCGGTGGTCCTGTCTTTGTTGCACTATTCTCCTCTTGACTCGAGACACGGAGCGGCTGCAACACGAAGGATTAGGTGCAAGACCAGAAACTGTGGCTGTTTTGACCCTGAACACTGGGATTAGGATGTTAGTTTAAGCCAGTCAGCGTCTCTGCTGAGCCCGGATTCTCCCATAAAGTTAAGCATGGATATATTCTGATCGTCCCTCCGTCCCGTTATGCCAGTCAACCTAATTTACCCGCAGACACTCTTTTACGGTAGGCAATCCCGAAAACAGCAACCCCTTCCCATCATCCATTTACCTGGTTCCCGATATTGAACTGCTATTTTCTGCTCCGTATTGCCAATAAGGAGGAAGGTGATGTAGAAATTGGATTGTAATTACATGATTATCTTACTGAGGACACATGTGAACCACGAATCCATGTCTAATGCCAATGCATGCGGCTCCTCTTTCCCTTTCTCCTTCTGCTTCTCCTTCTCACTTTGTACACTCCGCATCTCTCCACTGTAATCTGTCTCGCACAAATCTTGTACTACTTCCCCCATTCAATCGTGATCCATCCACTATAACGTTCATGGATAAATCACCCTCCCAAGGGCCAGGAGCTCCACAAATCCCCCCAAGCTCTCACTCGACAGTTGATTCATTCATGATGACAACCAAATGGCTAATGAGTTTGAGAGCCTATGTATGCGAGCGTATCAAATCTTGTCCTTTAACACGGCTGAGAAATGTCGATCTGGAAGCAACGCAAACGCAGCGGCAGTATGTTCGGTAACCCTTCTCCCGCCGCCCCAATCCCACACACGAACGTATGCCCAGCGATTATACTGTACATCACAGGCTCATTCACGACTGAACCCTTGAGAGAAACAACCAGAGGACGCTATCCCGAACTCGGTCTCAATCCCACGTCTTCAGCAATGGCCCATGCCATGCCACGGGCCACAACGGAGGATGACCACTGACGATGCCTTCTCTATGCTCTCAAGCTCGTCATGGTTGCTCCAGAACCCTTGTCCCCCATCCCAGCCCACGCTTTCCACCCCGGTGCCCCAGCCCGGTCACCTTGTTGCTTGCGCCATCGTCCCACACTGCACAGCCGAGTATCCTCGATCGCGCCCGTGTCCACGACCTCCACGCCTCGCCTTGCTATTCAAGGCAAGGCAAGGATATTGGGAACATGGGCCCTAGGGACCGTAGGCAAAGAATGCCCAGGTTGAGCGGGCACACAGACGGAATTAACCAGCGAGAAAGCAAGAATTCGGTTTGACTTGTGCGGGAATCGATTCGGTACAGTACAACTAGATGATCAAGGGATCATGATGGTCCAAGGGTCCAAGGGTCACGGCTGGCCTGCTCTGTTGCTATTCACAGACACATCATATTGTGATGGATGTTATGCTGCCCACCACGCCTCGACGCTGCTGCTCTGGTCTCTGGCCTCTGAGCTCTGGGGGTTTTGTGCTGCAGTTCGTCATTATCTCCTGTTCTATGCAATGCCATAAAAGAGGCCCCTCTTCCTCGAATCTCTCCTGTGTCTTTCACTTTTGCTTCTTTCCTCTGTTTCCCAACTTCGCATTTGCACAGCGTCCTTCAGTGTGTTCCTCAGGGAGCACGCTTAGTTGTGCGGTGTGTTCTCCGTTCTCTGCTCTCTGTTCACCAGTTGGTGTCGGCCGCCGACGTCACCAAAGCTACATTACCAGGTCCGACGAGCAACGAACGCAGAACGAGAACGCTCCGACCATCCGGGCCGACATCTCCACCCACAACGTCTCCAGCAGGGCGGCTTGGCTTGACCTTGGTCGTCGATGTCGTTGTCTTAGCTGGCTTTGGCTCTGTAGCTGAAGGCGCCAAACCCGCTTGTGCTGTGCAGTCTGCAGTGCGCACCAGAAGAAACCCCGGTCCTGCCGCCGACCTCGTCCGCCCATCCATTTCAGGTATTCCTGCGGCGCACTCCCACTCTACTACTCTCTACACCCACCACTACAATCTGTATCGCACACCCAGGGCCCAGGGTTACAGTAGCGAGCGATCCAACCCGGCCACAAGCTAGGTCTAGGAACCTACTGTACCGTACAGTTCCAGAGGAGACCCCAAGACACCCCAAGGGAAAATTACCCACCCACTGGCCGGTGCATCTCCACTCCGTTCCTCTCTCTCATCAATTGGTGTTGTCCAACTTGCCCTCGAAAACTTTTATTATAGTCTTCTGCTCCCTCGTTCCTTGTCTGGATTCAGTTTTCAGCCTCTTCCAGCTCTGCCCAAGCTCCGCCGCGATATGTTACTGTAACTCAACTGTCCGGTTTAACAAAGCTTTCTCGACCCAGTTTCCCCAACCTCAATCCACTTCCTTTATTAGCGTGGGAGTGCTTTTGCGGGACACTTACACACAAGCCTTGGACATCGGTGTCGGTAGAAACCCACCATATCCTCCCTCCACCTTGGCCGGACCGAGCATACTCAACTCGAACTTGGTCACCTTGGATCCTACATATCTGGTTTTCGTCAAGAAACGACTGTTTTCACGATTTCCCTAGTTCGCCGTCTAACCTCGAGTCGACTGCACCTTGCGCCAGCCTACACCCCGCCAAAATGATAATTGATGGAGAAAAGTATGCTTGCGAGGCTTGCGTCCGCGGCCACCGCGTGAGCAATTGCCAACATTCAGGTAAGTTCAGACTCCAGACTGAAGCATGTTATGTATTGTCGGTCCCAGTCGTAGCCTCCGGCTGGATGTAACTTCCAGTACTCGTCCATGGACATGTCTCCAAGCTTCGCTCTGTTCCCCGTTGCTGACCACAACCCTTCGATAGATCGCCCACTTCAGCATATCAACAAAAAGGGTCGACCAGTTTCCCAATGCGCTCACTGTCGCGCCATGCGCAAGTCGCGCTCTGCTCACGTCAAGTGTGACTGCGGCGAGAAGACAAGTAAATGTGCTCACTTGCAGCCAGCCGTTGAGGGGCACACGGGTGAGCTTCCTCTGATTTCTCGAGGTGTTACAGACCTCGAGACGCTCGACACTATTCGCATTTTCTAAAACTTTCGCAGAGACATGTTGCTGCAACCATGGTGGCCATTGCAGCTGCTCCCACAAGAACGAGCCTGCTCTTGACACCGTTCCTGAGTCTGACTCGGAGCGCGAGTCTTTGACCCTGAGCATCAGTGGCCGTCCGAAGCCTCCTGGTCGACGACGACGAGCCAACACGGTCCATTCAGACGGTGTCCTGACCTTCGATCAGCATGGCAACCACAAGCCTGCCCACCGAAGCAACCGGGTTTCACAAAAATGTGGCCCATATCAGCTTAACAGGGTGAACTCGGCTCACAGCACTGGCAGCTTGGGCGCCGACAGCATGCTGCAGAAGAGCACACGGGAACCTCCCAGCAGCCGAGCACGCGCCGCTACCAATCGAGAGCGTCGAGTCAAGTCAGAAACCGCATCGCCCCTGATGAGCGGTGCAAGCAGCTTCCAGAACCTCAATGGCAACCTGCCTCCTCTGGATCTTTCAGGCATTGAGTACCCTCCTTATATGGCTAACAGCACGTTTGACCTGTTCGGATCTGGCTTCAATTCAGAAACAGATGCGCCCATGTACAGCGCTGGCCTCAGTGCTGCTTCAGTCGACTGGAGCCACTATGATCTTTCAGAGATGAAGGGCGAAAGCTTTACGCCTTCCAGTTATAGCCAGGCCGGCACTCAGAGCTTCAATGGTCTATTCGATTTCGGTAGCGGTTCAGAGCATCTTCCTCACCTGGCCAACACTACATCAACCTCGGGAGAGGTTTCCGAAGTGGAGGATCTTCTTCCCGGGGGAGACGGCGACTATGACGGCCTGGAAGGATTCAGCCGCGCCGATAGCTTCATCCGACAGAACGGTAACGTGATGACCAACTCGACCGACCTCACTACCATCGACTACGACAGCTTCTATAAGGGAGCAGACAGTGGCCCTATGGCCGGAGCGGGCCTATCCATGGTTGAGGACGACCCTGCTTTCTGGATGCCCAACTATAACGAGGGCATCACTACAATGGACGAAAGCCCCGATCCTCTTGGCCCTGCTTCAGTGCCTAGCTTCTGGGGCATGTGAGAAATTATCGGGGTTTCGAATATTTAGGCGTACACAATACCCATTCGGTTTTTTATTTCAAGTCATTAGGGTGACGCACCGGCAGGCGTTGAAAAATACCATACGAATTGAGGCCATGAGGGGCATGGCTTCTTCTTTTACTCATTTCGCGCGAAGAGCGCAAACACATATACGTTTTATACAGAGCCAATTTACGCTCACAACCACCCGCAAACCGATCGCATCTGCCCGATGCCTGGGTTTCTTGCCGTGATGATTACGACAGACAACATTCTCATCCATGAAGTAGATGGTTTGGGAATATTGATGAGCATGAGTTTTCCTACTATCGACTGGGAGGAATGGAAAGGATAGAGCAGGCGCAGATGGCTTTCTGAATTATACAAGAAGCAGAGCAAGGACAAAGAAGAGACGAGCAGCGCAATTTGTTTGGATGATTTAGCTTGCGGAAAGAAATGTGATCAAGACAGACAGAATCCAGTTTGAAAGCAATGGCAGACGGACTATGGCAGTCAGGCCAAGAGAAGAAGATCATGTTGCAATTATGGTCCGTCGAATTGCGCTCGATTTTATCTGCACATGGGGATTTACAAGCTGAGTGATGCAAAGAGGAGGGAGATTGCATATTCTAGACTTGATTGCCAAGCAGTTATTGCGTCTGTTGACTCAATTGTTTATCATCGTTCTTTGTTATTTCTGGTTCGATGTTTCTGCTTCTGGCCTCAAGCTGGGTACGACAAAGAGTACTCAGCGAGGACTTGATTTAACGCAATAGACTTTTATGACTGAGGACCAAGACCAACCGAGTCGAGGTCCATGAGCCAACACCACCAAATACCGTTCCATTCATACATACATACAATTAGTGATTTTGTCGACATGGATTGAGGATCACTGACATCAGCTTGCTTCGAACCTCGGTGGTATCACTTGTCGTTGCTACGAGATAACATCACACGGATCCCATTGCAGCCCGTCGTCGGACGCCCGGAGATGAAGTGGTTCGACCGGCCAAGTTGCGTGCTGCATGGGATATTCAAAAGGATGCCTTCTGCTGTCTGGGGGTCCAATGCAAGAGGTGCTTGACCAACAACAATGGCAGGTCTCTAGGCCTGGATTCAGAAACAGCCAGCGTTTCTTTCATGTTGTTGGTGTCCTATAGGCCCGGGCCAGCGCCGCCACAGATGGGCACTCTTATTTCCCCGTCATCTCTTTTTCTCCCCATGATTCCAGGGATCCCCAAGCCGGGGTCAACAGGGATAAAGGAAGACGTGGCACTTGGACCAGGACATCATCATCCATCTATATTCAATGTGTCTTGCTTTACGTACAAGCTCTGCTGATGTTCCTGATTGTTTCCAGACACCGTCGATCATCCGAGGTCCCCATGAAAATAGTCCAGAGGCTGGATACTGTCATGAAAAATGTCACCAAAGACCCCACACACATAAAAGATTCTTCAGCACATCTGCATGTACGCTACTTGCTTTTTTCAAGCTCGGAGATACACACAAACAAAACAGACAGATGCACTTTGCTTTTCCGTGCTCTGCTTCTGTGTTGTACATGCATCTAACGATCCATACCGGGCCCGGTCCGGCACAGAAGCATCAGCTCAGTGATGCAGGGCCTGGCCTGGTCTTTTTCTTCCTGACCTGCAGTCCAAGTTGCATTTGGAGGGGGGCGTACAGCGTATGTACGTACTTCATATCAAGCAAAGAAGGTTTCTATACTGCTTCTGAAAATGGCAGTCAGGTACGGTACACAAAACAAGTGTCTCGCATGTCCTCGGCCACGACAACCAACCACACAAGCTAAGTAACTAACAACTTAGCAAGCAAAACATAGCTTCAGGGATTTCAGGCCAGCCCCTTTGTCGTTCGCACGGCTAAGCGGAGCCATAGTATCCACGTACTTTCTTTCTTACTAACTAACTAATCGAATAGTAGAAGCCTTCGTCTTCAACTACGGTGTACTGACCGGCGGCTTCACAAACAAGTCCTGTTGCCCTAACTAACTGCTAGTCTGCCGGTAGTCGAGTGGGAAAAGCCTCTAATTTGATAAAGACCCATTTACGTAAACTCAATTCTCCCATTACTCGTTTCCCGAAACGTCGGTTTTTTTAGCTGGTCCGGTACTCGGAGATGGAAAAGTCAGTGTCGATCAGGTATAGCTAGAATATGCACGATTTTGACTTTGTCTCATTTGACGCTATATAACAGTTCGAGCTATGATTGACCAGACAAGGTTATGACAGCGTGGGAAAAACTCTGTTTTGGAACCGCTACTGCACGCGAAGGAAAAGTCCGGCTGTGAAGCTTTTTGATAGGACAATTATGGGATTACGAATATCAAAGTTGATAACTATCAAAATAGTATCTCAACAAAACCAAACGCCATCGTTCGTGGCACAAGCTTGGCAACTATCATCTACCATCATTGTTCCGCATTTTTCGTTACCCCAGTTTAACAAATACCAAGAAGGGGAATAATAATCAATCATACACGACTCATTGCCTAAACAATGGTCATCGCCTCTTCACAAGTGTGTGCATAGGTCTTGTTGTGTTTTTTTTCAATGATGTCCTATGCCATATCCAAATATCCTGATGCCAATGATGGCCCAAATGAGATATCATCACCTCCCGGCGCAATGCCCTCATGTGCTGTGGCAAGGTCTGCCAGGTGTTGAAGGCCTTGGCTTGCTGCCGCTTCCACTGATGATGTTGGACGCAAGAATTCCGCAAGTTTGTCGCGAACACCATTCCACATTTCGTTGGGCTTTTCCACGATGTCCTTGATCAACTGTGTGGCTTCTTCTCGCGACTTGTCGATCTTGACAAGCTTCGCCAGAGACATGGTGACAAGAGACACAAAGTGATTAACGAGTGGACTACGCAGGTGCTCATTTGCGAAGAGAAGGTTGATCACTTCCTTGGTAGGCCATAACGTCTCCGTTGGTGTGGCGCCTGGTGTCAAAAGCACAACCATGAGCTTGCAGTGCCAGTATGCCAGATGCACCACGGGATGCGACGTAGCCAAGATATGCGCCGGGAGATCTTCTCGGTAGTTCTCAACATAATCTGCGAGTATGCGTGCCACTATCTCCTCAGTTGTGGACATTCCCAGCTGCAATGTGAAGATAGCATGCCAGAGACTGTTGAGCAGCTTCGAAAGTCCTAGAATCCCGTTTAACAATCAACAGTTACTTGAGATGAACTGCGTATCACTTACGAGCAAGGTAAAAGCACACGTCTCCCAGGATTTTCTCCAGGCCAGGAGGAGCGACTGTACTATTGTCTGGTATCATTGGTGGTTTTCCTTTGCCGACAGCATGCCAACGGTCCATCAGGATCAATGACCACCATATCCGCACTGATAGCTGGTCATCTGAGTCTGAATCAGACTCCAATACCAACTCGACGGGAGTGTATCGCCATAGGTTGATCGAATTGGCCAATCCAACCGCACGAGAAAGCAAGTAGGGCAAAGTTGGTGATGAACGCCAGTCTGCGTCGATAATAAGCAGCAATAGCGTTTGGGCATGCACAATATAGGTGGCTTGTGTGGCATGGGCTTCGTCACTCTCGCGTTCCATAAGTAGCAAGCTAGCGAGCTTCGTGTCACCACCGGATCCTACGACAGCAGGAAGGGCATTGGCAAATGCATTCTGAACAGATGTCGGGCACTGCGCGAGTAACGCCTGCATTCGACTCTTTGTGCTTGGTAGTATCGGATACACAGGTCCAACAGTTGACAAATAACTAAATAACGACATGTTAGTTGCAGGAAGGGGGTTCGGCGAAGGCTCACTAACCTCTGTAGCATGCTTTCATCGATGTCCACGGTCTCGTGAGCATCGGGCATTGATACGTCCATGGCAGCCACGGGAGGTTTAGAGGGCGTATTGTCCGGCCTGATGGGTGTAGCTTGGGGTGCCAATGAGTTGTTATTGTTGTAAGATGAATATGCTTCAGAAGTCCCTGGCGAGGCCTGCATCCTGTGGTCCGAGCCCCATGGCATTTGTCGCGAGGGCGTGACAAAATCGTTTGTCGAGATACTGGAAAAGGGTCGTTTTCGGGCAGCGTCCTCGCCTTGGCTTTGTCGAGGTCGGTCCGTGGAAAAGAGTCTGTCTATGTCGTCTTGACTCAGGCCTCCATCGGACTCGAGCTTGTTCTCGATGCTATGGATACGATCTGCAAGTTCCTTGATATATCTGTTGAGGCTGTCAGTCTTTCTCCTTCGGTGGGTAACTACAGGTAACAAAATCATACCCTTTACTTGGGCCTCTTTTCTGCGGTACGCGGCTGAAGAGACATCTGATAGATGACCTAGCACAACTAGAACAGGGAGCGTCACCAGTATCTGACTGAGCGTCACACTTAATTTTCTTCCTCCGGCACTCGTCGCATGCCCTTGACACCTTTGATCGTTTTCTGGGTGGGATACTACTGTCGATAGGGTATTGGGGGCCCATGGGCGGCCCAACAGGAACAGACATGGCGTGCGACACCATTTGGTCGCTCGTCGGAGTATCGTGAACATAGGACGGCGTCTGCTGTTGGTCGGGGTCGGGGTGAGGCATGATGCTTCGCAAGTTGGGGTCTTCGACGTTCATGTTGGGGTCTGTAGTGGACATCATGGGCGCTCCAGCTAGGCCCTGGCCCAACTGGGCTGCGAGCTGAAGTTCTTCCAGATTGGCAGGACGAGGAACGTGCTGTTGAGGGGTTTCTGGTTCTTGAGGTTGCAGGTCATTCTGATTATGCTCTGGAACTTGTACATGCTGTACTTGTTCCGGCGCATGATGGTCTGGCTGTTCATGGTGAGGCTCGTGATGGGGCTCATGATGCTCATGATGCTCGTGCTCTTGGTGGTCTTGCGGAACGTCTCGACCACCAGTGTTGTAAAAAGGGCCAGCTTCCATCGCCTCGGCGCCGGGTGAAGGATATGAGATGTTGGCATCCTCAGCCTCGGTTTCTAGCTTTGCACTCATAGCTACAGCTGGCTTGACATGCAAATGGTACAGTCGGTTGGCACTCGAGGGATTTTACGGGCGAGGACGATCGTTAATCGACACATAAATATGCGGAGATGAGTATTGACAGGCGCAATGCTTCAATTGTTCCAATAATGAGACGCGATATAACGGCGTTCCACCAAATTAAGCCCTGCGCGACGCGCAACGATATCACTGGACGAAGCCATTGTTAGCAATAGTTCGACGCGATGTTGACCAAGTGCACACGATCGTGAACCAAGCGAGGGATGTCACGGAAAATGATTTTGCGGACAGACGCGACAACATGATTGTGTTCGTGCTGTGGATGAGGGAAGCTATATCTTGGTCATGGCGA